TTAGTGTTTAAGGTTTACTCTACGGGAAACAAAAATCAAGTAGAGTATTCATAAAGTTGATGATTCAAAAAGTATCCCAACACGGGAACACTTGAACAAATAATCAGAAATGGATAGAGTATTCAAAAATCATATATATATATATATATATATATATATATATATAATATATATATATATATATATATATATATATATATATATATCCGAGGAGCAAAGAGAAAGTATGTTGCTATTAATTTAGTTTAATTTTTTAAACTAATTTTATTTTATTTTAATATTAACATTAACTTGATTTTAAAACTACTTTAATTTGATTTTACAATTAATTTATTATTTATGTATTGATTTTTTTAAAATTAATTTAATTTTATTCTATAATTAAATTAAAATTACTAGAAGTACATTGCTATTAATAACCTAATTAAGCTAAAGTTGTAATGACCAACATTAAGTCACTAAAAGTATGTTGCTTTTAATTTGGTTTTATAATTAATTTTATTTTATTTTATAAAGGTAACTTAGTTTGATTCTAAAGTTAAATTAATTTGAGTTTCTAATTAGTTTAATATTTTCTTTTTATTAGTTTAATTTATTAAACTAATTTTATTTTATTTTAATATTAACATTAACTTGATTTTAAAGCTACTTTAATTTGATTTTACAATTAATTTATTATTTTTGTATTGATTTTTTTAAAATTAATTTAATTTTATTCTATAATTAAATTAAAATTACTAGAAGTACATTGCTATTAATAACCTAATTAAGCTAAAGTTGTAATGACCAACATTAAGTTACTAAAAGTATGTTGCTGTTAATTTGGTTTTATAATTAATTTAATTTGATTTTATAAAGGTAACTTAGTTTGATTCTAAAGTTAAATTAATTTGATTTTCTAATTAGTTTAATATTTTCTTTTATTAGTTTAATTTTTTAAACTATTTATTTTATTTTAATATTAACATTAACTCGATTTTAAAACTACTTTAATTTGATTTTACAATTAATTTATTATTTTCGCATTGATTTCTTTAAAATTAATTTACTTTTATTCTATATTTAAATTAAAATTACTAGAAGTATGTTGTTATTAATAACTTAATTAAGCTAAAGTTGTAATGACCAACATTAAGTCACTAAAAGTATGTTGCTATTAATTTGGTTTTATAATTAATTTAATTTGATTTTATAAAGGTAACTTAGTTTGATTTTAAAGTTAAATTAATTTGATTTACTAATTAGTTTAATATTTTCTTTTTTGTTATTAGTTTAATTTTTTAAACTAATTTTATTTTATTTTAATATTACCATTAACTTGATTTTAAAACTACTTTATTTTGATTTTACAATTAATTTATTATTTTTGTATTGATTTTTGTAAAATTAATTTAATTTTATTCTATAATTAAATTAAAATTACTAAAAGTACGTTGCTATTAATAACCTAACTAAGCTAAAGTTGTAATGACCAACATTAAGTCACTAAAAGTATGTTGCTATTAATTTGGTTTTATAATTAATTTAATTTGATTTTATAAAAGTAACTTAGTTTGATTCTAAAGTTAAATTAATTTGATTTTCCAATGAGTTTAATATTTTCTTTTTTGTTATTTGTTTAATTTTTTAAACTAATTTTATTTTATTTTAATATTAACATTAACTTGATTTTGAAACTACTTTAATCAGAATTGTTATCATCATAATCAGTCTCTTCCTCGGAAACATTATCGATTCTACCCGTTGGCGGAGGTACTTCAGTCTCGTCTTCATCGTCATAATCAACATTGTTTTGAGCTACATCAACATTGTTTTGAAAGTATTGTGAGAAGTCGATAAAAAGTCTAGCTCCAGTTGAAGAGTTGTTTCGAACTATGTCAACATTTTCGGCCTCCACATTGTCGACATCTTGGACAGAGTCACTGTAAGCATTTTGGACACGAGCATTGTCGGATAGTAGATCCTAAATACTTCGATGATTAACATGCTCGACGACACAACGATGGTTGCTGTTTTGGTTTCTTCGATGATTAACAGGCTCGCGGATTGTTTGGCTTGCGAAGCATATATGAGTTGATAATCTTGGTACGCTTCTTTTTCTGTGTCAATACTGATGAAATTATCATCAGGAATATCTCCCGTACCGAACCACTTGCACCGAAATATTACAGTCGAATAATCATATGGATATTGCACCTCCATAATCTCTTCTAACTGGCCATAATATTTCTCTCCATTCTCACCAACCGCTAGAACCCCAGAGTTTTGCGTTTTTCGTTGTGCATCACGACTAAGTACCATAAACCTAACACCGTTTACTATGCACGCGGTGTAAGTATGAACATCCATTTGTGAACCCATTGAAAGGGCTGACAACTCTTCGTGGAATTCTGGAGAGTTTTCTTTTTCCATCTGATAAACCTATTAAACATATATTGATGTGTTATGTATTCTTGATTCATTATATTTATCAAAGATATTTGTTTGTTAATTATTATTACCTTTTCAAAAAACCAGTTGGGAAATTCGGTCTTTTCGTCACTTTTAGGATGTTCAGATTTGAATTTTCTATATTGATGAATATATATATATATATATATATATATATATATATATATATCTATATATATATATATATATATATAAATAACGGATGAATGAAAAAAGTAACAATAAATAATGAAAGATAATTAAAAATAAGAACGCTTACTCGATGTATTTTTAAGCCAATATGGTATAAACATAAATTAGAAAAACACACACAAAATGCATAAACACTTCCCATGAATCTGAAAAAGCATATACAATCCAACAAAATGCACAAACACTTCATATCTCAAAATACAAAGATAATCACTCAACCAAATTGAAAATTATTAACAATTTATCATCCAAAACAGAAAAATAATAGAATATAGGAGGAATTCGATCTTGAATGTGGGCAATTTCGGAATTGAGCTCAAGGGTCGCCGGTTTTGGAGGTTTTGGGGGAAGGTGTGGCGGTCTTGTGGCGGCAGGAGGGGATAGCACCGGTTTTTACCTTCATCCTACACCTAGTCGTGGCGTCCAAATGGTGGAAGTGAGAAGCTGGAACGGAAGCGAGAGAAGGAAACGAGAGAGAATAGAAAAAAATGTAACAGAAAAGGAAGCTGGAAGGGGTTATCTGCGACAGGTATTAGCGGCGACAGTAGGGCATAAACGATGACAATAGGGCAATAGCGGCGACGCCTTGGAGGGAAAAGTCAGTGCGTTTTCGCTTTCCTCTGCAACCCTACGATTGAAAACAAATCGGACGGATGGGGGAAATTTGACGCGGATCGCTGTTATTTTGCATTAGCGGCGACGCATGGCAATATTGGCGACATGTAACGCGTCAATTACATGTCGCCACTATTGTCCTCCGTCGCCGCTAAAGATGTCACCGGTAATGCCAACATTTCTTGTAGTGGATGTTGTTTATAAAAGAAAATTATGAATTTTTTTTTTTTGAATTTTTCTTAAAAACACAATTTGAAAAGTAAAATATTTTTGTTATTTTTTTAATAAAAAATAAAACAAAAACATCCGAATGCAAAAATGAAATTATTTTACAAAATTTAGAGAATTTCTTTCTCCAAGCTTAAGATATGGCATTATCCTCAATGCATGGAGAGGGTTAGATCGTGTAGTTATGAGTAGGGGTGGCAGAAAATTCAGGTAATGTTGAACATACGGAAGGGGCAGTGGCAACAAAGGATCGGGTTGAGTGTCGGTATAAATATCAAGAAGCAAATGTCTCATAGCATAAAAATCATTAGTGGGTGTCGACGTCGTTACGGAGGTCCTAGAATGTATTATCAAAGTGATCCATATCGCCATAAAGTACAATAATATCTTGAGAGTGCTCTTGATATTACTGTTGATTGATGGGAGTGTGTGGGTCAAAATATGGATGAAGATTGCATTGTGGTGGTTTCTAAAAGTCAGCCTACATCGGATGCATCGGATATAGTCAAAATTATGTTGCTGAAAAATCAGGCAGCTCAAAATGTTGGCGGTGAAATTTAGCTTGGGATCATGTTGATTAAACTAATTAGCTCGGGATCAAAATCAAAGTTATCTTAATCCAGATTTGGTTCATCCACGAGAGATGGTGCATGGCGACGTCGACGTTGCATCGACCCCGCATTAACACAGTTCACAACTACATTTTGTCCCATATGAACACTAACTAGGGGGGACATCAAGATAAGGAAATTGTCCCATATTCCAAGTGAATCCGTCTACATGTTGGATTTATTTTATTTGCTCCAACGTGTCGGGGTCTAAATATTTCTCCTTATCGGGGTCGGAAAGAATACCCTCGGCAAATTCTACACCACCACGGTCGAGCTAAGAGAGTTGTGGGATCATGTTTAGACTATTGTTGAGGGATAAGAAATTTGAATATTAATAATTATAAAAAGAAGAATACAAAGATATGAGTAATCCAACAATTTCATAGAGAGAGGAGTTACAAATATGAAAAATAAAGAACTCTTCATGGGAGAGATCTCATCGATTTTTCTAACTAGAACACTACATTTTCTAATGCACATTAAATGACTTAGTTTCCCTTTCTATTTATAGAGGAAAATAAAATCTTTACTAACAAAAAGGAAATATTCTAATACACTACCATTAGTTATAAAATGAAACACTACTATGGTTGAGAAATTTAAAAGATAAAAAATAATATTATTTGTTGTTATTGCAGTCTAGTGTAGCCACGATATGTATATATAGAAAACACTTCTCGTCACCGAGCATCTATATTTAAAAGTTAATTTTCAAATCGTTATGCATAATCCTTGTACACACACGATAACAAAATTATTTCAATAAAACTTTCAAATAAACATTTATCAATAATTACAAAAACAACAATGAAAATTATATGGAGAATTTAACAATAAATATTGTAACAAGATTAACAAGACATGTTACATCATAATCACATACATAAACAATCCAAACACTACCGTCTCTCGAAATTTATGTATAGGCCTACGTCATCCAATGAGATAAGTTGTAATGAAGATCAACATTCTTTTCAAGAAGTGACGTATAAAATTCATGCCATTTTAGACTTCACTGATTGAAATCACTTTCATGTCATTTAGACTTCACTGCAGCATCGAATATCATGCTGAAAGCCTTCTCAGTGCATGTCCGAAACTTCACAGGATCTATGAGACCTGTCTCAGTTCCTATGGTAACCCTCAAATGGTCCATGTAACTCATTATCGTCACCACAAGACTCTACAGAACCAGTATGCAAAACCCAAGCTAGATAGGTTAATTAATGAAGTAGAGATTATTTAGTAGCAAAAATTGATGATACCTTTGGGGAATTGACCACCATGAAATACAAGCCTTTAACAGGTTGATTAGAAAGTGCCATCTTTTCAACTGGTCCGATCATATTAGTTACTGCCATGCTTGAGTTCCTTATCGTGTTGTGAACATATTGAGCTGTTGCCTTTACATGGATTACCTTTCATACAACTTAGATACAGATAGACAGAGAAATATAAGAATGCAAGTGAGAGCTAACTACGTAGACATACCTCTGGACCTCTATATTTTCTCATAAATTCTAGTAGCATTCCAGTGAGATAAACAGCAGCTGAGTTTCTCTTCGTTTTGATGATACTTTGTATTTCCTGAACAAATTTGAGCGGTTTCAAGGACCCGTCATACTGGTGAAGTTTTGGCAATGAAATATGCAAGAAAGCAAACTGATTTCCCCATAGTCTTTTAGCTTCCTGATTTTGACACATCTCATCGAGAGACTTGAAACCATCAATAGATCTTGTGTTAAGTAACACCAAGGCTGTTGACCATTCATTTTTGCTCCTTCACTCGTTACATCCATGTATAATCTTGTCCCCAGAAAGATGATTCCGCAAATTACATCATTTACTGTCTGTGTAACAATATATATTTTTGTATTGAGAAGGAGATGAGACAAAGTAAAAAGCTGAAAAACAGTACATAGCATAAAAAAATATCCAGGACCATCATGCTAAGTGTTAACTACATATTTTATTCGAAAGATGTTTAAATAAAAACCATAAAAATATTAGAAACAATGAAAACCGATCATTCATAGTTTAATAACTTGGTTTTTTTGTTTATTTGTTTTTAATAGCTGTTTAATATTTATAATGATAATATATCAAAAATATAAATACTAATACTTTTTATATTGTACTGTAATTTTCATTATCCACTTAAATTATAAGTAAAACAATTATTTAACATGTACAGTTTAGTCATCGCAATTTTCTATTAAGTTATGAATAAATTAATATATATAATCTTTTGTGATCCATATCCATATCTAAGTGTCTAAAATAAGAAATTATTTTTTTCCACAAGTTTTTTATTATAAACATTTGTTAGGAAATTAAAATATCTATTATTATTATTATTATTATTATTATTATTATTATTTATATATATTGGAGCAAGGACGATGGCAGTTACTAGGTCGACATGGTGCAAGCGAGAAAGAAATCGCCCGAGAAATCGAGTGAGAGAGAACCGATTATTGTATCTATTAAAGGGGGAAAAGGGGTTTCTACCATTTTACTGTACCATATGGGAATAACTTGTCGCTCAGGGGCGGATGTATAATTTTGTAGTAGAGGTGTCACCGGAAAGTAAGAGTTTGCACGATAGTAGAAAAACAATTCGAAAATTTTCGGAAAATTTTACGGTGCGTCCGGAAAAGTGAAGGGTTGCATGGGTCACCGTGTGCCCTGTACTAAATTTGCCAGTGTTATCGTCCCTATACACTAATACAAAACGACGTTGTCCCCTATTTTCCAAATAAATACATTAAAAAATAGGGCAAATGACGTAAAAGCCCTTTAAGTTTCCCAAAATGTCGGTTTTACCCTTGAAAATGTTTTACGTCTATTAAACTCGAATGTTTTGTTTAATGTGTTCATTTATACCCGTTTAGCCGGTTTCCAGATAACCGTTACCTGGAAACCTGATACCAATAAAGCTCTTGAGTTTTCAAAAATGTTCGGATTTACCCTTAAGTTTACAAAAATGTTCGGATTAACCTTATTTTGATTGTTATTTTCATTATTTTGATAATAATAATAATAATAATAATTATTATTATTATTATTATTATACATGTTTAATATGTTTTTAAATGTATAAAAATATTTTATACATACATTTTTAAATGCGTTTTTAAATGTATCCAATATTTTTATAGATTTAAAAATATATTTACTTGTATTTAGTATTTATATACATTTGAAAGCCAATGTACGCCTTTAAAAACATATTTGTATATTAAAAATATATTTATTTGTATTTAGTAGGTATAAATATATATGTATTTTGTATAAAAATATACTATATACATATAAATATAAAAATATCAATTTGTAACGTTTATATTGTATAAAGGATATAATTATATGTATTTGTACATATTACTAAGTATATATATATATATATATATATATATATATATATATATATATATGTTGTGTATTTATACATATTTATATGGTAAAATACATATAAACGAAACATTATTTTAATTCTTTGGGTGACTCATCAACCAAAAACAAAAAAGTTTTTGGTGTTTGCTTACTAAGTATAAATATGTATTTATTTCATATTTATATGTATACGATTGTTTTTATACAAAATAAATACATATGTATATCTATTAAATACTATTAAATATATCTATTAAATTCAAATAAAAATGTATTTATATATTTAAAATCATATTTATACATTTAAAAATATTTTTATTTGTATTTAATAGATATAAATATGTATTTATTTTGTATAAAAACTATCGTGTGCATATAATATGAAACAAATACATATCTATACTTAGTAATATGTACACATCCATATAATTATATCTTTTATACAATATAAACCTTACAAATATGTATTTTTATATTTGTATGTATACAACATATTTTTATATGAAATAAATAGATATTTATATCTACTAAATACAAATAAATATATTTTTAATAAATAAATATGGTTTTAAAGGAATACATAGGCGTTAAAATGTATATAAATACTAAATACAAGTATACATGTTTTTAAAAATATATTTATATTAAAATAATTTATACATTAAAAAATTTATGTATAAAATATTTTTATACATTTAAAAATATATAATAATAAAAATAATAATAATAATAATAACAATCAATGTAAAGATAAATCCGAATATTTTTGAAAACATAATGGTAAATCCGAAATTTTTTGAAAACCCAAGGGTTTTACTGGTATAATGTAACCGGTAGGTTATCTGGAAACTGGCTAGAATGGTATAAATGAATAAATTAAACAAAACATCCAACTTACTAGACCTAAACATTTTTATGAAAACTTAAGAGCTTTTATGTCATTTGCCATAAAAAATATGTATATATTTATTTTTATTTATATTTTGGACGATATGTCGTCCCTACAACTTTTTGGATACCCGCAAAAAAAAAAAATTCCTTCCTTCCTAACCAATAGAGACAATTTATCGTTGTTTTAGCTTTAGAAGTGAAAGTTTATTTGTCAAACCTATAGCGACCATGGCCGTCCCTTAGGTTCCTCTGTAGGGACCACATTTGTGGCCTGTATAGCTTTTGTTTTTGTAGAAGTTTATTCTTGTAGTAAAGTATGTAATACATACCACATGAAGGCATGACTTAATTTGCTTGATTTGATCTAGAGAGAATGTGATTGTCGTTATATTGATGGGATTGAACTCCACCCCTTTGTTGCCGGAGTGTATCAGGCTCCGTCTATCTTCCAAAACACTGCTCTTTAAAATGCTCCAACCGAAATCCATAACAGTGTTTAGTGCACAAGTTAGGGCCTGTGGTACACGACTAATTATGCTTTTAGGATCTTTTTCTGGCTTGAGAGATTTCCGAAAAATTGGCAATGTTAATGGTAGAGAAGGATTATCTGCCCTTTGCAGACAAGAGAGAAGAGCACACATAAGAGAGTAACCATCGCCAAGTGAATGGTGAAGCTTGAAAATAACGTTTCCAGACGCATTGCTTATTGGGTACTTGATGATGTGAATTTCCCATAGTGGCTTTGTTTGTGGTAATGGATCTATCGCCATTTTTGATAGGTAATCATCGAAATAATGATCATATGATTCGGGTGCTAATCCTTCAGGAAAACAAGGGATTTTGATATGGTCTTCTGCATTCACTTCTACTCTCTTCCAGTGCTTCCCTCCCTGTTTGTTTTCCACCTGCTCATAGAACCAGGCAACCAGAAATTAATTAATGGCATAGTAATAAAGAATACATGATCGATTTATCAGATTTATATATGGGTACTTTTTGGGACATGGTTGCTCACAACGTAATTTGTATTTCTCTAGTTCCAACCTAACTCTTAAACACATAGTATTACACTTCGTATAAACTTGAAACAGCAAGAAATTATGCAGTACGATATTTTGGGTTCATTTTTACACTCTTTAATTAACCATATCTCATCCACATGTCTGAATAGATTTGTAAGAGCCATAACCATCATTAGAATCGTCAATCCAAGAGACACCAAGAGAGTAGCGATAGTAGTTGGAAAGGCAGTATTACCATAATGGAAGAGAAACGAGGGTTAATGGGAAGAAAGACATCGTTAATGAGTGCAAGTCTTGAAGAGTCATCAAATGGGTTCTCAAACTCCAAGATACAAAGAATAGAAATAGAAAGCACCGAGCTGTTGAAGTACTGCCCGGTCGGACTCACTGGCTCTGACAGTACCACATCTTCCAAACCTCCTACCTTCACCCTCAAACCCATATCTTATATCTTGTCGTGTGTTTTGCTGCAAAATGCTCAAGTACTCTATGACCTGGTTCGACTTGTTACAAGCTTAATAAGTACTTGTTCACCTGGTTTGCTCACAATTTATTATCTAGAAAGTTGCTCTTTCACACATAAGTTTGGTTATATTTAAAGGAATATGTTGCCATGGTTTGTACATCATGCTTAAAGATGATATATTATTTCTGGATCGAAGGAATGTGTGTTATGTCAAAGGTGTTAATCACAATTACAATCGGCACATCCGCACATAGATATATAGTAGGCGGTGTACGATTAAATCATGCATTACATTTACCCTCCACCAAAAGTATTTTGAGTACGTAAATGAAAGATTCTTTTACTTGGTCCTTTGCTAAATCAATATTTTTTTAGGCTAAAATATGTCATACAAATTTTGCCCTCGGTAATCCGATGTGGCACGTATTGCTGGCCGTAAACAATGCACCCCCCCCCCCCCTTTTTTTTACCCGCGGTAGAAGTTCACTAGTGTCTAAAATCCCCATTTTTACCTTCTTTTGCCAATAACATCACCCCTAACTATTTTTAAAAGTTGCAAAAATGACAAAGATATCACCATCAATCTAGATGGCATAGGTAAAAAAAGGTACAGCCTTACAAGTTAGAAACTGAAACTAAGGGTATCATATCCACCAAGAAATCTATAATCTTTAAATTGATCATCACATTAGTTATTAATTATGTCAACTTTGTAATGTCACCTAATTAAATGTCACCTAGTATTCCACCCCATTTCGACCATTCCCTTTATATCATTATTCTCGATACTTCAAGAATGACAAACTCTAGGCTGTTGGGTGTGGGCAACATGTTATTACATGTTACCACACTCAAAAGATGTCATATCATCATTCTAGTCATAGATGGGTGTTATAACACCTAAGGTGGAAATGGGCAACACCAAATTACATGTAATAACACCCTTTGTTTGTTTTTTTGTTTTGTTTTGTTTTGATTTTTTTTTTATATTTTTAGTTTCTATATTTCGAATTTCTTTTTTTTTATGTCATAATATTTATTCAAGTCTTCTCGAAGTTGTTTGTGTTTTCGTTGGTCTTGAATATCAACGACTCTATGTAAGTATTATGTTGTCCCTGGTTGAAATTGAATTTGTTCGGGTTCCATTGGCAAATACTCCACAATGTTTCGTCCTTTATCTTCAATCACCATGTTATGCATAATGATACATACATACATAATATCTCGTAGAGTGTCCAACTCATATGCTTGTGTCGCATGTTCAACTATGTGTCATTTTGCTTTCAGAACTTCGAAAGCACGTTCCACGTCCTTACGTGCTCCTTCTTGTCTTCTCTAAAAATTTATCTATTGGTTCTATCGGGTGTCAAAACGCATTCACAAACGTGGAATATGGTGGGTATATTCCATCTGTGAGGTAATACATGAACTTATACTCATGGCCATTTACTGTTAAAGGAGCATCTGATGCCTTTCCTGTCAAAAGGTCCTGAAATATTGGTGACTGATCAAGAACGTTTACAACGTTGTTAGAATCCGCAACTCCGAAAAAAGCATGCCAAATCCATAAGTCTTGTGACGCAACAGCCTCTAATACTAACGAAGGCGATCTAAGATGACCACTTGTGCATTGATCTTTCCACGCCACATGACAATTTCTCCATATCCACTTTGTGCAATCAATGCTTCCATGCATCCCCAGAAAACCATGTCGTTCTTCATGCGCCACATATAGTTGTTGCATGTCATTCAATGAAGGTTTGCGCAAGTATTTATCACCGAAGGTTTCGATAACACTTCTCACCAAACTGTACAAACTTTCTCGTGCAGTTCGCTCTGACATTCTCATATAGTCATCAATAGGATCGGGCGATTCCCCCAAAGCCATAAGCTTGATTGCAACAACACATTTTAGCAACCCTGTAAAACCTCGTTTACCTCTCGCATCATACCTCATTTGGAAATATTCATACCTAAACATATATTTAGTTTTAAAAGAATTATTTAATAATCTGAAGAGCATATATTTAATTTTTAAAACAATTATTTAATAATCTAAAGAACATATATTTAATTTTTAAAACAACTGTAATTACTGTACCTGCTTTCCATTGCATTGGCTATTCGTTGAAACACATTTTTCCGCAAACGAAACATTCTTTTAAAATCGCTAGGTTTGTTGACACAATTATCCGCAAAATAATCGTGTACTAGACCTTCTTCACGATCTTTGTTCAACGCCGCATGTCTATTTAGTAGTGGAGCTGGCTCTGGCGGTATCATGTCGGTAACATATTGTTACATATACCCACGAACATATCATCCTCGTCGATATCATGATTGTATGGATGGAAAGGATCAAAAGGTTCCATTTTTTAAGTAAATAGAGTAATAGAAAACAAAATAAAATAGAAAGCAATAGGAATTGTTGAATGGATTTGTTGGGTTCGGTAGATAAAATGGAGACAAAATTGTTGTGTATTTATATTAATAGAGATTTTTTTAATATTAGTGACAGTTTGCAAACGGTCGAAATTTTGAACGTTTCAATCAAATTAGTCGTTTCCTTCCGTTACCACCATAACATGTGTTACCATTACACCAAAAAACGCAAGGGGAGGGGGGTGCGGTGTTGGGGGTGTTATGATGTAGTTTTTGTATGTCTGCGTCGGAATAACGGGCTTTCCGGTTGCCCATTCCGAGTGGACTTAATGATCAATATGGATCGTATACACCTTTAACTTTTTAAAATGTAAATTAAATTTTTTATTCTTGTTTGTTTAAAATAGTGGGTGATCCGTGATTATTATTTTTCTAATTTTGTGAAATACGTAGACTATTTTATAATTTTTCATAAAAGGAGACTATTATATATATATATATATATATATATATATATATATATATATATATAATATATATATATATTCCCTATTTTAATAAATTAATAGTTTTAATCTGCTTTTGCCAAATGTCACTTTAATACAACGCATCATTAATATCATGTTATGTATCATTTAGATATATTGGGCAACACATTTCAAAATTCAAATTTACATTTTCTAATTATATGTTAAATATAAAGTTATAATAACTTTAAAAATTTGATATATATCTTAGTTAATAATTTATTTAAAATGACTTATTTAAAATAACTGATTAATAATTATAAAATTTTATTATAAAATTTTAATTAATTTTATAACTGTTGTTTCCACGGGTTATAAACTAGTGTGTGTGTGTATATATATATATATTACATATATATATATATCTATATATATATATATATATATATATATATATTTCATGTTCCCTTATGAACAGTTCTTCAATCCAATTGTCTTGATTTTTTTTTTCTTTTTTATTTTTTACTTTGTCTGGGTTTTAATCGTTTTCATTTTCCTCTTTTTGTTTATGAAGCTTTACCCCTGTTGGTATTGATTCCCTCCTTGGTCAATGAATCGTCAACAGTACTGTTCATCGTGCACATGCATCCTCTTCTCTTTTACCACCAGTACTTTAACTCCACCAAGGATAGTTTAATCCCTCCACACACCCATTCACCGCCTAAAATGTCTCTCCTTTCACCTCATACCATCGGGACTTCTCACGTTGCTCTGCCTTCTTCCTGATGGTCTTAGGATCCCCTCCGCCAATTTACTTTGCCCTAACTAGCTTCTTCATCGCTCTTTCTCATCTCCCAAACTCAACTAAAACTTTAATGAAATGTTCATCGTCTATTCGGCTTCCTGCTTCCGGTTCCATCCGGACCAACGTGGATTCAACTAAGAATCAGGTAGTGGGAGTACCGGAGGTGTTGGGTTTGTTAAGAATTGCTTTTTCGGTGATCCTTTAAACAGGTAACACCATTGCGGACTATGGCGGTTTGGTTCCGCTACAATATCATCGTCATTTCCAACCGCTTTGGAATTAGAACATCGTTTCTTCTTCTCCACATTTACTTCCCACTGTTGTATCTGCTTGAAAGTGAAATCTACTCTATGTCTTCAACTTCTACCCGTATTATCCTACTTCACTGCTTCTTACTGGAAAAGAATGACCTAAAAAGCCGATTTCGACAAGGAAGCAGCAACAACCAACAACACATATCAACGCTAATGCTGGTGGTGGTGCGAAGGCGTTGGCTTCCGGTTGTAGTGGTTGGACGCGATGTGGGGTTGAAGTTTCCTTCCTAGTTGAAAGGTTGTTGTGGCGACCCTTCAAGATAAGTCATAAGATATCGGGAGGATAAAACAAAGCATCATCGTTCCTCAATTTCCTGACTACTTTCAACATTGAAATAATCAGCAGGTATCCTTGCCTAATTTCTCAATGTTTTCAAGATTTGGATTGAAATAAGTATTTTCTTTCTCAGTGCTCATAGGAAATTTTTGGGTTTCTAATTTGTGTTCCATTTTTTTACAAAAATCATAGGAGAGAGTTTTGAAGTGGAATTGTGGCTATGGTTAATTATTATGTTCAGAAATCAGAAGAGTGAGTAAAAAAATACATTTGAATTCTTTTTTTGGTATGTTCTTCAACAGATTTGTCAAGTTTTAGCATCCTATATCTTTCCTTCAGTTGGTGTTGTTTTCAGATGATGGTGACTTAAAAAGGTGCTCAATTAAAGAAGGATTTGATTGATTTTGTTGTTCATACTTGGCAGATTTGGGGATACACATCAAGTGCTTGATGAAATGCTTCAAAGAACCGGTAAGATTAGTTATATTCTATCATCCATTGCACCAGATTCATTAAATAGCAACTACTTTTAAAACTACATAAAAATGGTATTTACACGGTTGATATGATTTCATTCTCATTTAGAGTATCTTTTGACTACAATTCAAGATCTCAAATACACCACTAAGTTGCTCATCTTTTGTCGTCTTTAGGTGTTGTCTAGGTTAAGTGTAGTATGACCATGCTATTTAACACCTTATCCTTTTGTTGTTCTTTAGGTAAAATTTAATGAATAAAGATTAAACAGTTATACTCATCTATTCTGCCATTTGTTCTTATTGTTAAGTTTTTTATGAGCAAAGTGATGTCCGTCCACTTTGACTTTTGACATGTTAAGATTT